GCGCGGGTGGGCGCGTCCGTCAGCGCAGGACACCCCAAGTGGTCTGGCGTGGAGGTCGTGACCTGCGTCAGTGGCGGTCGCTACGTCAACGTCATGGACTACCCCGTCTTCCATCTCATGCGCGCATCGACACCCTTGCCGGTGCACAACGTGTGCGAGAACCATGAGTGGGATGGCATGTACATGAGGCCCATCATGCGGCCATGCTGCAGTAGTGCAGGTTTGGCCCAAAACGTGCCCAGTACTGCAGGAGGACCACAGTTTTGGGTCTCTTTAACTACCTGAGTTCACTTTGCTTTAGCAAAAGAACTATTGATATTCGACCCAGATACCAATCAACCTGTTTTTTTGGTGATTCAGGATGTTTTGGAATTGCACTTTGGTTTGCTGAATTGTTCTGAGTCCACCGGGTGGAGGCCAAGATCCTTTGCCCCTTTGCAAATGCCCCAACGGCCCAACCAAGCGAAGGAGCTGCCTACCTTTCATCCACCCAGAACCCGCTTCTCGTCTTCCCTTACCAAAGGCCCTTTTCTGGAACAGCAGGATTTCCATCCAAATCTCGCTGGGCTTTTCGCCTTGTGCTGGAGTTGCACACGTGGCCCTGTTGTTGTGGGTTTTACAGCTGTTTTTGGAAGGGGGTTCTGAGTTGCAGCTAAGAGCATGCCAAGAACTGCCTTTCTGAAAGTGGGCTCTTTGCTTCCAGCTCTAGCTCTAAGAGCTGTCCCGCAGGCTTCGCTTCTATCGGGACTTCCTGGAGACGCACCTTTCTTCCAGCCGCCGTTCTTCCCGCGAGCGTCGCAGCGAGCGGCTCTTTCTCGTGAGCGACGGGATGGACGTGATCTTCAACGACCTGACGTCGATCGCCGGCGCTACGAGCGCCGCGACCGATGCGGAGGGAGCGTCGCGGCTCATCGTCGAGCGCTACGAGGCGCGCGGGCGGAAGAAGCCGCGGAAGGCGCGGCGGAAGGCGGAAGGCGCTGGAGATGGGTGGCTGGGGCGACTGTGGATGAAATGAAACTGCAGTTCAGAAGTGCCCGGGATGATTGTAGACATGAAGATCGTGGATGGTACTGTAGCTCTTTTTTGCGCCAGATCCTCAGGAGTCATGCTGAGAGCAGGAAACTCATGTTGACAGGAGTCGACTTGTGGACGGATTGAAGTCAGAGACTTTTGTTTGATTTGCCAGCCTTGGGACAGAGGCTGAGTCTGTTGTCATCAATTGATCCTTTGAAAAGGATCCTGCATGTGCAGATTTCGGTGGAGGTATGGTGTGGAATTGTCCAATCAAGCCACCACTTTCAGGATTTAGGCAGTTGCTTCTTCTGAGTCAACCATCGACAATCCTGGCAGGCCATCGTCGCCGGATCCAGTGTGGAGGCGGAGCTCACTTCTACACTTTGTGACTTTGTGTACTAGTAGCGTCCTTGCTCCTAGTAGTACGGCCAGGAGCCCCGATCGTAGCGTCCTTGCCCCTACTAGCGATGCTCGCTCCTAGTAGCTTCTTGCTCCTAGTAGTCTGTCCAGACTCCGATTGGGCAGGCATCTCTTTCCTTCGCCACGCCCAACAAATGCCTCTCATGGCCGTCGTCCGGGCACCGCGACACACGATCGCCCTGACGAGATCGGCCCCGGTCTCGTCTTGCAGGTGGTCTTCTCCTCCGAGCGACTGTGCGGCTGGGGCGGTGGCCACATCTGCTCTGAGGAGGAGACGGGAGCTGCATGACGACCAACAGGTCCATCCTTAGGTCTTGACATCGGAAGAAGAAGCACGGCTTGGATCTAGAGAGTGGAACAAACTCCAGACTTTTCCACCATCTTCCATGCATTTGTTGTCTTCACTTCAGCTAACAAGAGTCACAATGTGTTTGCATTGAAGGTGTCCACCTCGATACCTTTTGTGCACATCCCTTTTTCAGGTGTCCACTGTCCACCTCTTCACGCCAGGACGATGCGCGCTATCCGCCCGCACCAACGGAGTCGAAGTACCTCAACGCGGGAGGCGCGCGAAGAAGCTGCCGGGCTTCGGCGAAGCGATCGGGTCCATGAGCACTGCCCGAACATGGTCAAATGGTAGCCCAAACACCACTTTTGGGGGAGAAATTTTGGGGGTTTGCCAGATGGACATGACAGGAATTCACATCATGAGGTGGTTTCGTCGTGTTTTTGCATTAGAGCAAGGACCGCAATGAGCCTTGCTTTCCATCTTGCGGCTTGCGTTTTTATCCGTATATACATATGTTGATTCCTTCCCTTGATGAAAGATGTGATGAGCCGCTCAACGTGGCTTCCCCGCGCTTCCCAACGAAGCAACAGTTGCAGCGCAACCAGGCTATTTGGGCCCCGCTGCAGCGTTGCTGCGGATCCTCCGCTGGGTCCTCGCGCGCACAGACACGCGGGAGGAGGGTGGAGAGGCGCTGCGGTGGAAAACCACGGCGCAGGCGGCCGGTGAAGGGGCTGCTGGGTGGCGTGATCATTGCCAACAATCATTAGCTTTTGCTTCCAGACTTTTTACTTTGACGTCGCCTAGAATCTAGAACAGTGTGGTGTAAAGGCAATTGGGCAAGGATGCAGATTCCTCCTTTGCTTGCTCGTCGATGCTCAACATGTCTCAGTTGCAACTTTTGGGGAAAGAATTCTCGAATCTGCGATGCAGAAACAACCTTCCAGCATGTCTCAGGATGCAGCAGGAGGAGAGACTGACCAATATTTCTTCAAGATGTACTTCTGGGAGCATCCCGAGTGCGCGATCTGAGTTAACATCGGCTGAATTTCACATGCTTGAGTTGGCAGAGATGAAAATACAGTAGTAACATATTCAGTATTATTCAGTATTGTTCAATTGTCCTTGTACAAAGACAAAAGCATTTCCTTTGAGGTTATTGGATTGGACACACGTCGTCGTTCACTCGGCCAGGTCTGTGACTCTCGACTACCACCAGTCCATCTTCGGGAATTTTGTGGAAGTAGAAGGACGCTCAGCTGTTACACTTGAGGCATGTCTAGAGGATCAAGGAGGCAGATCAGCCCTTGCGCCACCTGTGCAGGGACTATACGGAAGAAGGCCAGTGAGGGTTTTCTTAGGTTTCTGGCTTATGGGGCCTAGTGGGTGTAGTGGGGCCTAGTGGGTGTAGATGTCCCGTCCCCAACTCGTTTTGGACGTTTTAGCGGACCTGCCAACCGCGGAACAAACACCGCCCCCGTGGGCGATGGCGCACGCCTGAGGAAAGCCCTGTCACGATGGCTGGCGCCCCAGGTGTAGCATGCAGCCATGTTGCACAGCGCTTCGGCTGCAGGGAGGCTTCTGCAGGGTGTGGGTCCGCCCCCGTGGGGCTGTTCAGTCTGTTCAGGCTGCAACTGACCCGCCCTTTATCGATGAAACCCGACCAACAAGCATGGAAGTGGCTGGTGGCCACGGGCGCTTGGAAGGGACCTTGTTTCCGCTACCAGGTAGCTGCAGCTTCCACTTCAAGGTTGGCTTTTGGATGGTAATAGTAGCAGAATTTTGTGGGATCCAGACTTCAGCAGAACGTCCGCTTTCTGTCAGGAAAAAGCAAAAAACATCATCCCAACCTGCTAACTCATATACAGCATTTATATAGCCGACATGAAGAGAACTCGTTTTGCCAGCATATCTTGTCTTGAAGATGCAGATCGGCGTCCCATGATGGGTGTACCTTTGCCAGGTGAGTGACAGCTTTCGGCAGCTTCAGCAGGTTTTCTATGGCAACTACCGGGTGGATGGTTGCGCTCTCTGGCGGCAGAACACTCTGCCCATCACCTGGCATGGCACCTGGGCTCACCGGAGAGGGATTGGCATCCAAGGGGTCGGGTCTTGCAATGGTTTATTTCATATCTATCATGATCTATCCATTGATATACATCGTTTGTAAGCATCCAATTCCGACAAGGGCAGTCTCTTTTTTCTCGGAGAACGTCCCAGGAAATGGAGCGGGGAAGTGGCTGTGGCTATTGTCTTTGGAAGAGCTGTCAAGAAGTTGTCCCTTCATCGCCAACCTCACAGTGCAAAGGCGCGTGTGGACCAAACGGAGCGGGGTCACCCTACGAGGTGGGGTCCTTTCAAAAAATCAGGCTTCTCTTCACAAGTCTGGCACGAAAAGATGGACTCTTCTTCCCGATCCTTCAGTTCTTGACCCCCACTTCGCGACATACTCCCCAAGAACACCAAGAACAAGGTGAGACGTCCGAAACCTGGACCAGCAGCGTTGAAGGTTTTCCGAACTGGGCCGTCGGGGCGACAGGAAAAGGACGCTCAGTCCGGTCGCAAGTCGACGGAAGAGGAAGGACCGACTCCAGAGGTGAAGGACTGAGAGCGTCAATGGACCTTTGAAGTCTCGGATCCTTCCCTCTTTGACTTGAAAAACGTGGCTAGACCGGGCTCCAGACCACTCACCACCATCTCGGACCGCGTCGGACCGGACCTCGTCGACCTCTGTTTGGAGGTATCCCGTCCAGCCCATCCTTGACCTCTTTGACCGTTTCGACCGAAGCCGCGTGCAGATCCAGCAGATCTTGCGGTGACAGAAACACCGCGAGAGTCGACCGGTCTTTTTTCGGGCTGAGAGCCACCGGGGAGGTAGCATATGCGAGACGGGCCGTGCAGGACTCTAGTAGTATGGCATAAGAGGTCAGCATCCGGACCCGGTCCTACCTGGTTGTTGGAAAGGCTGCGTGTTTGGATAAGCACGAATATCAAGCAACAGGTAGGAGAGACACCTGCCTTTTGGTTGGATACCCAAACCATGTTTGGTCTCCATCCTTTGGACTTTGAGCCACCACTGTTGAATACGAACTGTGACTGTGACTGCTCTGGACGGACCGCTAGCTCCAATTCCTCTACTTAGGCCTTGCTTCACTTCCCCAATCTCCATCGGTCAATCTCCAGGCGATTAGTTTCAATAAAGAGGCAGTCTTTCTTGACCGATGCGCGCACCCCCCAGTTTGCTAGCTTGCAAGCCCGCTGAGCTCCTCTTTTTCTCCAGGACTGGTGGCCCAGAAGGCGGCTGTGGGGTGTCTTGATGGAGCAGAGGTTTCTGCGGAAACTGGCGGTGTCCTGGTGACAGGTAGTTCTAGACGAATTTCAACACCCAGAAGTGACCACCGGCAAGACTCGCCCGTCGTGGTTCGACGAACTCTCATCACAACTCCCAGCACTAGGGGTGGTGATTGACTTGATTCAGGATTTGCCTGTAACTTGTCTTTGGGATTGGAGCAGTTCGAGCCCCAGGACTGGTCCCAGGTGAGATCTGCTATGAAGCTTTAACCCAAGGCTGATCTTTCGCAGCTGTTTGTTCATTCGATTTTTTGGGCTCCTGCCAGGCTCAGTTCCACATCAAGCAGCTCCCCAAGCAGTTGGCAGCTTCATTCCAATGACGGGCGGTCGGAGACGGCGGCATCAAGCTGAAGATGTGATTGTCATCGCAAAAGCAACGCTTCTTCGTGGAGGGTCATGTTCCTACTGGTGTGGGAATCTCTAGGTATGTCTTCATCCTTAGGTTTTGCTGATATTTAGGGTGATGTTTGTTTTCATTATATATATATATATTATATATATATATATGTGTGTGTGTGTGAATCCCCTTCCTCTTTTTTTCCCGGTTCCGGAAGCACATCCAAGTCACGGATGTCACGGATGTCACGCGGAGACCAGTAGAGGAAAGCCATGACGGGGCCAAACCGAGTCTTCAGCCCTGGAGGAAACGGTCAAGGCCAGGAGTTCCCTTGGTTTCTCCAAATGGGCATGCCGGCGTATCTGGCAACAAAAAATGTTACTGTATGTGCAGATACGCTCGCGGTCCAAAGAAGCAAGCGTTTGTTCAATTCCACTTCAAATCCAGGGAACCAAATGCAATCTGACACGATGAGTTCTCACTTGACACCGGGAGCTCATTGCCGCAATCCGTCCGGATGTCTTGTTCCCCCTCCCGTTGGTTCTGGCCAAGCCATTGAGTGAGACTTTCGGTGAGAGACCCACTGGAGTCATGGGGAGACCCGCTGGCCCAACGGGTAGACTGGTCTGTTCCTTCTTGGACTCATCGGACCCGGTCCTTCTTGTGACAGCATGAGAGTCTCTTTAGGTTGGAGGCCATTGCTCTGTTCGGTTGGAGGCCACTCTTGTCTCATGCAAAGGCGCCATCGGGTCCAAGGCCTTGCCCCAACTCCAGTGATGCCTTCGCGGTGGTGCAGACCTTGCTCCGCGACGACCGCTGGGCAAGAGGAACTATGCTGGAAGGCCATGGGGGTGGGGCCATGCTGCGGAAACACATGAAGGATTCTTCTGAAGGATGATGAACATGACTGCCATGTATGTTTCACTATTTTTCACATCAGCCCCACTTTCATGAGGTATGATTGTTTGAGCAATTTGAGCTGGGAATATTTGTTCCCGAGTGTCGGTGATGTTTCAAGTACTTTGATTTTGCACACTCTCTTTTTCCGTCGCTTTTTGGCCGCATCCCGACGGATGCTTTCCATCTCCGGATATCTGGAGGTGAAGAAGTTCAAGCAGCGGAAGTGGAGGTGCAGGAAGAAGAGGCCTGATCACGCTGCGTCAACGGATGAAACGCCCAGAAGCATAGAAGAAAACTGATCATAGCATTGGCATGATCATCCTAGCTTATTGAGAAGAGATCCTGTTTCCTTAGCTCCATGTTGGCTGGAGACCCTTCAGGGTACCTCCGCTTGAGTCCAGGAGAGGGACATGTCCTAGCCTTTTGGCTAAGACATGCGGGTTGATGCCCAGCACGTCGATATACTCCACTTGGCCATTGCGGCCTTCATTTCTTTTGTAAGACGGCAGCTTTTTCCCCAATAGCCATGCTATGGGGTCTTGCAAAACTAATAGGCGGACGGGCGCCGTCGGGTCACCGTCAGAGCTGGTGGGCGGATGGTGTCCCGGTCATGTTTTGATGGCGTCCGGGTCATGTGATGCTGGTGTCCCGGTCATGTTTTGATGGTGTCCCGATCATGTTTTGATTGTGACCCAGTCATGTTGTGAGTGTGTCCCGGTCCTGTTTTGATGGTGTCCCGGTCATGTTTTGATGGTGTCCCGGTCATGTTGTGATGGTGTCCGGTCATGTTTTGAAGGTGTCCCGGTCATGTTGTGATGGTGTCCCGGTCATGTTGTGATGGTGTCCCGGGCATGTTTTGATGGTGTCCCGGTCGTGTTGTGACGGCGTCCCGGTCATGTTTTGATGGTGTCCCGATCATGTGATGGTGGCGCGGTCATGTTGTGATGGTGTCCCGATCATGTTTTGATTGTGTCCCGATCATGTTTTGATTGTGTCCCAGTCATGTTGTGATGGTGTCCCGGTCATGTGATGGTGTCCCGGTCATGTTTTGATGGTGTCCCGGTCGTGTGTCCCGGTCATGTTTTGATGGTGTCCCGATCATGTGATGGTGGCGCGGTCATGTTGTGATGGTGTCCCGATCATGTTTTGATTGTGTCCCAGTCATGTTGTGATGGTGTCCCGGTCCTGTTTTGATGGGTGTCCCGGTCCCTTTTTGATGGTGTCCCGGTCGTGTTGTGACGGTGTCCCGGTCATGTTTTGATGGTGTCCCGGTCCTGTTGTGATGGTGTCCTGGTCATGTTTTGGCGGTGTGCCGGTCATGTTTTGATGGTGTCCGGGTCATGTGACGGTGTCCCGGTCATGTTGTGATGGTGTCCTGGTCATCTTGTGATGGTTTTCCCGTCATGTCATGTTGGTGTCCCGGTCACCCTGTGATGGTGTCCCGGTCATGTTGTGATTGTGTCCCAGTCATGTTGTGACGGTGTCCCAGTCATGTTGTGATGGTGTCTCGCTCATGTTGTGATGGTGTCCCGGTCATGTTTTGATGGTGTCCCGGTCATGTTGTGATGGTGTCCTGGTCATGTTTTGGCGGTGTGCCGGTTATGTTTTGATGGTGTCCGGGTCATGTGACGGTGTCCCAGTCATGTTGTGATAGTGTCCCGGTCATGTTGTGATGGTGTCCCCGTCATGTCATGCTGGTGTCCCGGTCACCTTGTGATGGTGTCCCGGTTATGTTGTGATGGTGTCCCAATCATGTTGTGACGGTGTCTCGGTCATGTTTTGATGTTGCCCTGGTCATTTTGTGATGGTGTCCCGGTTATGGGATGATGGTGTCCAAGGAAGAGTTGGTCGATGTATTGAAAACAGCAGCTGTTTCCAGATTTGTCTTTTTGTCCCGGTTTGTATCTTGCTATTGGGGTCTCCAGCTGGGCTAATTTCCTTTCTTCTTCGTGCCGATGGATGTAACTCCTATTGTACGGTCCGCTTTGTTTTTTTTTTTTTTTTTTTTTCGCTTGCTGCTGCATTCTGAAAGTCTCCGGCAGGTTCAATGTTCATCTTCAACATGGATGCAATAGTTGGATAGGTAAACTCAAGTGTGTGCTTCAGCGCTTGAAGAATGCAAACTGTGCCAAGTGGGTGAAAAACACTTGAAAGCAAACTCAGCCATCGCCGCATTGGCAGCTGAGCCTCGAAGGCCTTTTCGCACGAAGGGTCCGGCGTCTGGACGCCGCGAAAACGATGGCCCGGTCGGGCTGTGCACGGTCGTGCCCCCAACGACGATCTGGCACCTTTGCTCTTCTTTGCTGGTGAAACGCAGAGCGTTTCTTTGCGTGGCCATGTGGCCTTTCTTTTCCAAGTGTGTGACGCCTCGCCAGCCACGGCGTGAGATTGCCCGGGACGGTTCGGGTGGCTTGCGTGGTTGCCTGGTCGGTTCCATGTGCATTGCTGTTCTGCTTCCCCTGTTCGGTTCGGGCTGTTGCCGTGGCGACCCCGCAGGGCCGCCGAAGGCGGGAGCTCCGTGGCGACCATTTTGGATGTCTGTTCCGGACATCTCCCAGAATCGCCGTTCATGCGACCAACAGAGCATCCATCCAGACCTACAGTAACCGGAGGGCATGGCCCCGAAAGGAAGACCATTTTCCACTACAGACAGGTGGTGCCATCCGCTTCCATGTTAGTTCCACCTCAAAATATCCAAATCCCATTGGTTGGATTTACCCTCCAACATGGAAGCAGACGATTACCCCCCCCATTGTTTCTAGAGGAAAGCCATGGCTTTCGCATCCATGTGTTTTGACTTCGACCGAGGGTCGAACTGTATTGACCTGGAGGTCAATTCTGATGTGTATGGGCCATACATCCAAAATCATCCAAAGAACCACCCAAGAATTGATGTGGCTGTGGCAGGTCACCGGCCATGGGGGGCCATCCACTTGGTTTCATTTCGCCGATGGCGGGAGAAGTGACCTCTTTGAAGTGACCTCTTTCCGCCGAAAACGCCAGCCGCGAGGCCTCGAACTTTGGGCTCGGTGGCTTTCAGTTCCAAGACTTCAAGGTGGCCAATCGAAGAGGGGGAGAACACTCGAAAAAGGAGAGGACCCTACCAGGACTTCAAGGACCTCATTTTTCTGAGTTGTATGACTCAAGCTGGTTTGTATTCTTCAAGGACTTCAACCAGGTTTTTGTTGAGCGAACTTTTGCTCCTTTTCGCAGCGGAACACGTGCGCGATGTGGAGCCCACTTGGCACAGTGGCATGTGGAGCATGACCACAACTGGCCCCTCAGAGGTCGGTTTTCATCATTGCCCAGTGACTGCCCTTGTTACTAGTAGCTTCTTGGTCCTAGTAGTAATCCACATTTGGTGATTATGTTTGACTTGTTTGTGATTCAGTGACCATTGCAGTTGCGTTTGAGAGCTTGCTTTCACCTGAAACCGACGACTATACCGTGCCCCGTTCAGACCGTTCTGGACTGAACTTGTTCATCTCTGTCGCGGTTTGCGTGAGTCTGGGGCTGTCGCGGTTGGCGTGTCACGATGCTTTCGCGGCACTGATTCTGCCAGCGAAGACGATGCCATGCGGTCCTTGATTTTGCAGGTGCTCCATGGTCAACGACTCAAAGCACATGGCTGCTGCCACCTGAAGTACTACGGCTTCGAGGCTGGTGAAAGACGGAGACCATGGATGTCTGGTGCATGGTTGGGATTAGCAAGAAGGCTTACTGTATGCTCGAATCGGTTCATTCGGAAGATGCTGAGCTGAAGAATCCCTGAAGAAACCAGCAGGGCATCGCATGACCAGTGGCTTTGGTCGGCATGTCTCTCCACTACTCCCCTCAAATAGAGGGCATCTGCCCATTCGAAGGATCTTTTGGCTGGGATTCCAATGACCATTCTCTAACCATCTTGACCAAACAACCATTGTTTGACTTCAGAATTCGCTGCAAAACCAGGTCAACCCAACTTTTCGAACGGTTTCTAAGACATCTTTTCCTTTTAAACAGATGACTGGAGCTTGCACCGTGCTGAAGCACCCAAAAAGCTCCGTGTCTCAGCCGCCTACCGAGCACTGCAGGTCTGCGTGGCCGTGCTGTGCGCGGGGGTGGGATGCGTGGCCGTTCTCAAAGGAGTGAAGGTTCTCATCTCGAAACGTGCGATTTCTTTTTCAAGAATGCATCCCTGATTTCCAGATTGGGCAAGGCTTGTTGAGACCCTTGTTGAGGTCCCCACACTTCATTCTTTCTGATCAACACTGCAGAAGGAAGAACCACAAAGACGCAACGATTGACAAGATCCCCTCTTCATGGTGTTCTTCAGGATTCCAGGATTCTGGGGAATCCGACAAAAGGTGGACTCATGTCGGTGCAGGAGCCCCCTTAACATGCCGCACCACCATTCTAGAATCCAGAATTTGAACAAGTACCAGGACCCCCTAAGGGGCTTCTATTGATAGCCCCTTAGATGTTAAGGGGTGTCCATTAACCACCTCTTGTGGGTCCTGGTACCGTGGGACAAATTCAAGAGCGCTGCCAATTTGAAAGCTTGACAAACCGAGCTTGTACTGTCCTGTCCGTGGATCCAGGTATCTTCCTGAAGATGCTCCAGCACCACGATCAGGCACGAGGATTCAGCGCTGGTCACGGTGGGTTGGACAGCTTGGAGTCTTCAGGAGTCATTTCAAAAGCCTACAGCCTAGTCTACAGCAGATGACACCTTCTTTGCCGAGTTTTCGTGGGCTTTCGTCTGAAAAAATCCCGTTCCCACGTTTTCGTCTTGAACTGCGGCGACGCCTTCGCCGGCTCGGACCGACCGCCCTGCGCCGACCGGACCGTCGCCCAGGTGCGGAGATCATGGACAGTTCGTTGCCGAAGATTCTGGCGCCGCGCCGAGCTTCGTTGCCGTGGGCTTCGGGTGGCCAGCGGGTCGGGCGGCTGTGGCTCCGCCGCGGTGCCGCGGTCGACATGGGCCAAACACTCGACGGTGCGTTGGACTGGGTGAGTCTCCCATGTGCAGAATGAGTGGTGCATCACTGGCACCTCGGATGTTGCAGGTTGTTGCAGATCTGAAGGTTCCGTTGGATGTTGGACCGGGTGGTCACGCAGACCCCTTGAGGCGATCTCAAGTTGATGTGTCTGTCCGAACGCTCTATCCAACCCTTGAAAGAGGCCTTTGCATCACACCCGTATCAAAGATCCAAAAGACTGCAGTGTGGCAAGTGCACAAGCTCTCTAGATCTGTACTCGTACCACCAGCTAATCCACTCCTTATCAATGCCTCATGAACCTCCACACTCTACAAAACACCGAGCCCAGCCGAGCCGCCCCCCCTACCGGTGTTCCGACCGGTCCTTCAACAACGCCTCGCCACAGGAGCTGCGCTACTGTCGGAGCTTTCCTGGGGAGCACTTCCGCTGGGTGACCCGCCCGGTGGCTCAGGGGGCGGAGGCAGGCAGTTGGCAGGTCTGTTTCAACGGTTTCAACAGGTGCGTGACTAGCAGACCGATCCAATCAGCCTATCAGTGTGAACATTTGAGGGACTCTGGATTCAAACAGCACGAAGAGAGGTATATACTGTAACCCCCATGCAACTATTCATAACTACAGTATTCACCGAGGTGTTTTTTTGCTTCAAATGCTTAGACCCCCATCCTGACTGTGCAATTTGAACATGTTTGAACTGCTGAGCTTCGCACCTCTTGAGGCAATTGAAGGGCGGCTTCCTGGGAACATGTTGAGAGAGGACAAGCTGAGAGAGGATGCACACGAGCTTACTATTACGAACTATATACATCTGACGGATCTACTCCGAACACCGACTCCGCAGCCGCCCCAAGTCGCCCCAAGTCGCCCAAGGACTCCACCAAACACCAAAGGAAAGGGGACGCCGTCCCACGGCTTCGCTTCACGGCTTCGCTTCACGGCTTCGCTCGCTTCGCTCCGGAGACGACTCCGGGGGGAGGGAGGTGCCGAGACCCTCCGCGACTCGGACCGACCGAGACTGTCCAGGCTGGGCGATGTCTCGCAATGGGCATCCCACCGAGACCGACACGGCGGAGGCCGGTGACGCCCAGACCGTCGGTTTAGTCGGGTTTGGAGCTGAAGGTTCGAGGTCGGTCTGAGGGTTGCAGGTCATGGGTGTGGTTTTTTCATAGGGAGACCATTTGGCCCAACGGGTTTTGGGTTCATTTTTCCCTTCTTCCGGGAGGTCGAACTGGGAGGTCTCCCTATTTAAATGCATATCCGCATCGAGGCCCCCAGCTATTTCCACTGGTCTCTTTGTTCACCGTAGGCTCTGTTCTGATGGCCGGTTGCTGGGGTATGCTGGCTGTGGTGGCAGATACAGGTGACTTAATGCCCCACAGCAATCTTCCCACTTAGTCTGCAAAGCAGCAGTTGTTGCTGGCTAACTTGTGACTTGTCCATCCGGGAGTAGTGCGACATACTTGCTCCTACCTAGCCAGTCCGTGGTTGACTTTCAACAGTTTTCTTCAGGATCAAGCCTTTTTGCGGACTAATGCATGGATCGCATGGATAGAGTGAACTTGGTCTCCACACTTTGTCAGACCCTCCCAACTCACCAACTCACCAACTCACCGGGGCCTCAACTTATGGGGGCCTCAGGTGAACCGGGAGCAGGGAGCACATGTGAGAGACGAGGAAGTAGATCAGCAGACACGATCGAATTTTATAAATGAATCCCAAAGAAAAACACCTGATAAAGATCTTTCCAACACATTTGGTCTTATCCAAACAAAATACAGTAGTCAATGAATCACCTCTTTGTCACACTCGGCAGTTGGGGTCGCCAGCAAACCGCTGAAGTCTACAGACAACCGGCGCAATGTTGGTGAACGAGCACCTTCTTTCACTGGTCTTGAGGCCTTCAACGCGCTCTACCGGGACGTCACCCACGGGGAGCGATGGGGTCGCCAGCGAATGCTGCGATGCGGGGAGCGGGGTCGTTAGCTTCATCGGCCAAGGCGAACGAGGCAACTCATGACTCCAAGCGTTCGGGGTGCCCTCTCTGGAAGCCAGTAGTGTGGGGTAAAAAGTCCAGCCAGGACACCCAACATGATTAAATGGATGGTCCTGGTATATTATGTATACCAATATATAATATACCAATAGGTTTTTCTTTTCAAGGATCTTGGATTATGTCGAATTATTGCCAAGTTGAGCGTGTGTGAAACTTTGTTCAGACATGGGAACCCTGTGGTCGTTCTACCCTTGTTGACCCGCAGAATCCAGTGCTTTAACCTACCATCGTTTGGAGGCCTCTCTGGCGCTCTTGCCCATGTCCAGGGGCTTCCAGGGTCCAAGATGGTCATTTGTACCGATGGGATGGAGGTGCAGCACTGCCTTGCCAGGATTGCTACACACTGGGATACCACCCTGCCCAAGGTGAGTGTGCAGGGCTGAGCGCGGTTCTTGAGCGCGTCAAGCATGTGCCTTTGCCAACCCATCGACACCCTCAAATTTCCGCTCCTTTTGTTCTCTGAGAAGCACGTAAACAGTACAAAACCGTACCGATTTCTATTGGTTTCGACGATAAAGTCCTAAAATGTGCGGTCTTGTCTTCTTCGCACCCTTTGGGCCCCGTCCTTTTCTTCCGAGGCGGTCGCGTCTCGCTGCAGCTGAACGGCACCGAGCTGGGCGCCGTGGAGGGGCGGAGCTTCTCGGAGGCGGCCAAGCGGGACCCCCGCGACCTCCGAAAAACCGAGCTTCACCAAACGGTAGGGGAACAGTTCGGTGTTTCCGGCCGTTTTTTGAGTCGTGTGTCTTGGAAGGGGCGTCAAAGCAAGTGACCTTGACTTTTCAGCCAATGGCTGAAGTGGTGTTGCTTCCTTTCTACATTTTTCTACAGGGGTTTGAGTAGGCGAAGGCCCTTTTTGTTCATCCTTGGCTGCGTATTAGAAGCAGTAGTTTGATGTGGATAGGCGGAAGGCACAACTATTTTGAAGCCTACCCTACCATAGCCTTCTCTTCGATGGGATCTCCTGCTTGGTCACTTATGCCAGTGGTATAGACCTTTTGCTGCACTCCAGGCAATCTTTTCCGTCTGGTTTGGGCCAAAGCCCTTTCTAGAAGACCTCAAGCAGGACACACAGATGTCGGGACGTGTGTTTGCCAACGTTGGTCGCCCTGGTGCGTCGTGATGTCGCGAAGGGTGTAGACGGGACACTGGACACTGGACACTGGACTGCCTATAAGATCCTATGAGATGACGAAGGTGATGGTGATTGAGGCTGGTGGCCATAGAAGAGGACGAAAGACGCCAACGTTCGATGCCTGGACATGGGACCGGTGAGCCCAGGATCGAAAGGGCCGAATGGCCGAATGGCTGATTCCTATGGAGAAGCTGGTTGGTACCAATAGCATGGGGAACAGGATCAGCTGCTCTGATTCGTGCGCCCAAATGTGGAAGAGCAAGGGCTCTGAAGGATTGTCACGAGGATCAGCTAGCCGCGGAGCAACCTGTCCAACGAAGGAAGACGCGGCTCATGGGGTCTTCTTAGAGAGGCCCCCTTTTAAACGTTTTCAGTCTTTTCAGTCAATCGCCTGAGACGGGGTGTGAGAGCCCAAAAAGCTACCCGAAACTACCTCACCAAGCCCTGAGCCAAGCACTACTTAGCCACTTCAAACACTTCTGAGTGAGTTTTACAACTTGTGTGGGGAAGCTACTAGGAACAAGTGCCTTACTAGTAGTAACAGGTGCCTTAC